TACACTTAACCTACACTTCACCTACACCTCCCCTACACTTCAACTACACCTCCCCTACACTTCAACTACACCTCCCCTACACTCCACCTACACTTTACTTACACATAACCTACACCTCCCCTAAACCTGCCATACTCTTCACCTGCACCTCCCCTACACTTCATCTACAGCTCCCCTACACTTCACCTACACCTCCCCTATACTTCATCTACAGCTCCCCTACACTTCACCTACAACCTCCCCTATACTTCATCTACACCTCCCCTACACTTCACCTACACTTCATCTACACATCTCGTACACTTCACCTACACCTCCCGTACACTTCACCTACATTCACTTACACTTAACCTACACTAACCTACACTTCACCTACACCTCCCCTACACTTCAACTACACCTCCCCTACACTTCACCTACACTTTACTTACACATAACCTACACCTCCCCTACACTTCACCTACACTTTACTTACACTTCACCTACACCTCCCCTAAACCTGCCATACTCTTCACCTGCACCTCCCCTACACTTCATCTACAGCTCCCCTACACTTCACCTACACCTCCCCTATACTTCATCTACAGCTCCCCTACACTTCACCTACAACCTCCCCTATACTTCATCTACACCTCCCCTACACTTCACCTACATTCACTTACACTTAACCTACACTCCACCTACACCTACCCTACACTTCAGCTACACCTCCACTACACTTCACCTACAGCTCCCCTACACTTCACCTACACTTCATCTGCACCTCCCCTATACTTCACCTACACCTACCCTACACTTCAGCTACACCTCCACTACACTTCACATACACTTCACCTACACCTCACCTACACTTCATCTGCATCTCCCCTATACTTCACCTACACCTCCTCTACACTTCATCTACACCTCCCCTATACTTCACCTACACCTCTCCTACACTTCATCTACACCTCCCCTACACTTCACCTACACTTCACTTACACTTCACCTACACCTCCCCTATACTTCGTCTACACCTCCCCTACACTTCACCTACATTCACTTACACTTAACCTACACTCCACCTACACCTCACCTACACTTCACCTACACCTCCCCTATACCTCACCTACACCTCCCCTACACTTCACCTACACCTCACCTATACCTCACCTACACCTCACCTACACTTCACCTGCACCTCACCTACACTTTACCTACACTTCACCTGCACCTCCCCTATACCTCACCGACACCTCACCTATACCTCACCTACACTTCACCTGCACCTCACCTACACCTCCCCTACACTTCACCTACACCTCACCTATACCTCACCTACACCTCACCCTCACTTCACCTGCACCTCACCTACACCTCACCTACACTTCACCTGCACCTCACCTACACTTAACCTACACTCCACCTACACCTCACCTACACTTCACCTATACCTCCCCTATACCTCACCTACACCTCCCCTACACTTCACCTACACCTCACCTATACCTCACCTACACCTCACCTACACTCCACCTACACCTCACCTACACTTCACCTACACCTCCCCTACACTTCACCTACACCTCACCTATACCTCACCTACACCTCCCCTACATTTCACCTGCACCTCCCCTACACTTCTACATCTCACCTTTTCTTTTACACAGTCGTGTGTAAAAGTTCTGCTGGTCAAATTCCGTGTTGTTGATGTTCTGAGTGTAATATTTCCTCGTCCTCTACAGAAACTCACTACTGTACACTTTAATACACACTTACTGTTTATTGTTAATGTAAAGTTATCGTTTCAGGGAAATAGACGTATATAAACAGTTTCAGATCCAGGCTTGATGAGTGTCTCCATGATCAGTGGAAATACAGTCTTACACAACCGTCCACAGAACACAGTGAGAAATACATGATAAACAATAACAGATAGTTACTGACAGTGCAAGATGTTTTATATACAGTTAATATCATGATAAAACCTTGTGTCTGTTATTGTCTGTTGGTTTTACATTATTTCTAAACTCTTTACATTGTGTGTAAATTTCATGGTGAAGAGATGAACAGTAATAATTACATTAACTTCCATTAAAAAATGTTTTGGCTTTTTCTGAAAACTTATCATTTTGGAGATTTGTGGTTTTGTTCTGACAGCAGTAATAAATACAGTGCTGTGCAAAAGTTTATTTAAAAAGCTATTTAAATAATATTACATAATAATATACATATAATAAGTAGTGATTTGTCCTTACAGTATTTACAGTTAGCATCCAATACCAGCTTCATCTAATCAATACTGCAGTAAATTAAATCAGCTGATGGAGCTGAAAAGATCCATGTGATGCTGAAGAGCAGAGAGAAGAACCAAACCTGTGATCATCCAACCTACATATTCATAACTTTACTGAAAATAAAACATTCTTGGATTACTGGATTTATATTTATTTGTATTTTACATTGTTATACAGCATTTACTGTATTTATCAATCAGCCTTTATTTTCACTCAGAAACACCTTGAGAGTGACGTTCACTTTCACTGCAGCTGATCATTTACAGTGTAAATATGTGTATATTTGTACATTTAAATACAAATATTGAAAAAGAAATTAAACTGTAATCAGTTTAACCTAAAATGAACAGAACAACATGAACAAATTAACTGTAAAATCAAACAAAATCAAACAAAATAAACGGGGAAAAATTAAGAGAACAATTGAGATTTATTACGAAGGGGAACAATAAACTACAACCAAGATAATAATGCAATTAATAAAACTTCCACATAAAAGGATCAATAAGGCAAACTGAAATTTAAAACAGTCAAATCAAATGAAATAAAAAATGAAACGATTCATGTTTGTTTACATGAATGTACATTATTTATATAATGTTTTTAATGTTGTTCCTGCTGAAAAATACACACTCGGACACTTAAACTGCTAAATCTCTCTGTCTGTCCAGATGAACAGTTTTATACATGTATAAATTATATAGCATATTGTTTATGGTATATTATATGTTACATAATATAACTCTACATTATATTCTATAGTCTGTGTACTGTTTTGAGCCGAAGACTCAGTTCAGTTCTGGACGTGGTGTCTGTTCTCCGTGCTCTGGTCAGTGATCAGTGCTGAGAGTCCTGCAGTAATAAATAAATAAATATATCTGGATTGTGAAAGTCTGTCTGAGTTCAGACTCTGCTGGACGCTGCTGGACGTGCTGCTCTCAGCGCTGTGTTAAAGTTCAGGCTGTGATTTACAGCTGAGCTGAGTGTGCAGGGCTCTCAGACTGATGGCCAGTGGAGCCCCCTGCTGGTCAGCCCTGTCTCTCAGGCCTGCAGGATGAGGCGGCTTCTAGACTCCACTGTACACTCGTTTAATGATTATACCAGTGCTGCGCTGCTCAGGGGGCTCATTTTAATACACACGGAGGGATATTTACGTTTACATACACACTTTCAGAACAAAGACCTCCAACGCGGTCAGTGGACAGGAGGAGCAGCTCTGAGCTTTAGTAGTCAGTGTAAGATTGTCTGTCGGTCTCTTGATAAAATGTTCACACAGTGTAAATAAAATCAGCTGAAGTTTCAAATTATATAAACAAAACAAAACAAATATAAAATGTGAAGTAAACTGTGTTCACTGACAACAAAGCTCAATGAAGAGCGGCAGAGCGGTTCTCCCAGTGCAGCACACACCAACAAGAACACTACGCTACACGCTCTAAAACAGCGGTTCTTCAAGGTTCTTTAGTAAAAACAATGGTTCTGCATAGAATCACAAGCACTAGAGAACGCATTAAATGGCCACTTGTACAGTCAGACGGTTCTTCTCTATGATGGAAAACTAGGTGTACATGGTTCTTTAAAGAACAACTAAACAGCGTTTACTAAAGTTATGAGTCAAAGAACCCTTTTTTCTGTAGAATATAGAACCTCTACAGAGAGAACTTAAAAAGGGATGTTTTTATGCACATTTAAGTGCAAAATTACTGTTTATTCAGTTCATAAAATCAGATTTTTTTTTGCACAGGCCACAAATTGTTATATATATATATATATATATATATATATATATATATATATATATATATAAACTGTAATATAACTATAATATATATAATCTCCACTTAGATTTAAATTACATTTAAAAGGCTGTGTGTCTGGGCAGTAAGGGTTTATTTGCTCAGAAAAACACTAAATTATGAAAAATACTGTTAATAACAATGTAATAAGTAATGATTTAAAGTGTCAGTGCAGCTTTCTTGAGGAAGTCCAGTATTATCTGTAGTTAATCATCCAATTCCTGATCTATCTAATAGATACTTCACTATATTAAATCGGCTAATCTGTGATGTTGGAGAAGAAGTCTAGAACCAAACTTTGTTCTTCAAACCAGCTAACAAGATCTCAACTACTTCACGAAAACAAGAACGTGCCGCTACATTTGACTGTATTTATGTTTTTTTGCATTTATTCTAATGACACAATCACAGCGACTGTCCAGATAAAGGGCTTTATACACTCTGCTCAAGTGCTTCTGTATTTGCACAGTATTATGGGTAAAATATATAATCCCATGTATATCCTACAGAGATGAACATGTTTACTGCTTTCTATTAAAGACACAGAGCTCATTAAAGATGAATTATACTGGGGGGTGGGGGGTCTTCTGGAATCTGTCTGAATCACTCAGAGGGTCTTCAGTCTGAGCTACACGACCTACAGAGTCTTCAACTCTGAGGTCTTTACACACAGAGCTGACCAGACTGACCTGGAGAACTTCTACAGGCTCTTCACTCACTCTCTCACTCTCTCACTCTCTCACTCACTCACTCATCCACACGGAGCTGAGTCTGCAGGAGCTGCTCAGCTGAAGTGGCCGTTCGGTCAGAGGGTCTCAGCTCGAGTCTGAGTGCCGCTGAAATCTGCTGCCTATCATGATGATGATCTTCATGCAACAGCTGTAAGGAGTGAGCAGAGGGTGCAGTGGGGGGTGCGGTGGGGGGTTACCTGCGATCTCCTGCTGTGGAGCGGTGTTCAGGCTGAAGCCCAGTGCGCCGTACGCCTCCCTCACCTCCATACAGCTCCTCCACTTCCCCTCCGCACACACACACACCACACACACACTCACACACAGCAGCACCGACACCTGCATCCTCACACACACGCAGACACACACGCTCGCCCGCCGGGGGTCCTCGAGCTCCTGAAATCTCCTCCACGTGGAAACACGATCCTCACCGCTTCATCTCAGTGAACACACACTCTCAGCCTCACGCGCGCTGTGCGGTCCCCGTGCGCTGGACTCCGATAAACCCCCCAAACACAGCTACACATCCAGACCAGCAGCTCCGACAACTTCACCGCACAGCGCTCTGCTGTTTCTACAGCTCAGACGGAGAGAGGGAGGGAGAGAGAGAGAGAGAGACAGAGAGAGAGAGAGCAGTGAGTCAGAGCAAAGGGAAAACCTGGAGTGGAGCAGTGGCACCACTGGAACTGCAGAGCAGACCAGCAGTACACACTGTGTCTGTGTGGCAACACACAGTTCACTACTGAGCACATTACATCACTCACTGTTACTCAGTGTTACTCAGTGTGACCTGGCATTACTCTGTAATAACCAACAACACAGCATTACTCAGTAATAACCAACAATACACAGCATTACTCTGTAATAACCAACAATACACAGCATTACTCAGTAATAACCAACAACACAGCATTACTCAGTAATAACCAACAATACACAGCATTACTCAGTAATAACCAACAACACAGCATTACTCAGTAATAACCAACAATACACAGCATTACTCTGTAATAACCAACAATACACAGCATTACTCAGTAATAACCAACAACACAGCATTACTCAGTAATAACCAACAATACACAGCATTACTCTGTAATAAACAACAATACACAGCATTACTCTGTAATAAACAACAATACACAACATTACTCTGTAATAACCAACAATACACAGCATTACTCAGTAATAAACAACAATACACAGCATTACTCAGTAATAAACAACAATACACAGCATTACTCTGTAATAACCAACAATACACAGCATTACTCTGTAATAACCAACAATACACAGCATTACTCTGTAATAACCAACGATACAACAGCATTACTCAGTAATAACCAACAATACACAGCATTACTCAGTAATAACCAACAATACACAGCATTACTCTGTAATAACCAACAATACACAACATTACCCTGTAATAACCAACAATACACAGCATTACTCTGTAATAACCAACAATACACAGCATTACTCTGTAATAACCAACAATACACAGCATTACTCAGTAATAACCAACAACACAGCATTACTCAGTAATAACCAACAATACACAGCATTACTCTGTAATAACCAACAACACAGCATTACTCTGTAATAATCAACAATACACAGCATTACTCAGTAATAACCAACAATAAACAGCATTACACTGTAATAAACAACAATCCACAGCATTACTCTGTAATAACCAATAATACCCAGCATTACTCAGTAATAACCAACAATACCCAACATTACTCAGTAATAAACAACAATAAAGAGCATTACCCTGTAATAACAACAATACACAGCATTACTCAGTAATAACCAACAATACACAGCATTACTCTGTAATAAACAATAATACACAGCATTACCTTGTAATAACCAACAATACACAGCAATACACTGTAATAAACAACAATACACAGCATTACCCTGTAATAAACAACAATAAACAGCATTACTCAGTAATAAACAACAATACACAGCACTACACAGTAATAAACAACAATACACAGCATTACCCTGTAATAACAACAATACACAGCATTACTCAGTAATAACCAACAATACACAGCATTACTCTGTAATAAACAATAATACACAGCATTACCCTGTAATAACCAACAATACACAGCATTACACTGTAATAACCAACAATAGACCAGCATTACTCAGTAATAACCAACAATACACAGCATTACTCTGTAATAAACAACAATACACTGCATTACCCTGTAATAACCAACAATACAAAGCAATACACTCTAATAAACAATAATACACAGCATTACCCTGTAATAACCAACAATACACAGCATTACTCAGTAATAACCAACAATACACAGCATTACTCTGTAATAACCAATAATACACAGCATTACTCAGTAATAACCAACAATACACAGCATTACCCTGTAATAACCAATAATCCACAGCATTACTCAGTAATAACCAACAATACACAGCATTACTCAGTAATAACCAACAATACCCTGTAATAACCAACAATACACAGCATTACCCTGTAATAACCAATAATCCACAGCATTACTCAGTAATAACCAACAATACACAGCATTACTCAGTAATAACCAACAATACACAGCATGAGACTGTAATAAACAAAAATACACAGCATTATCCTGTAATAACCAACAATACACAGCATTACCCTGTAATAACCAACAAAACACAGCATTACTCAGTAATAACCAAAAATACACAGCATTAGACTGTAATAACGAACAATAAGCAACATTACACTGTAATAACCAACAATACCCAGCATTATTCTGTAATAACAACAATACACAGTATAAATCTGTAATAACCAACAATACCCAGCCTTATACAGTAATAACCAACAATACCCAGCATTACTCTGGAATAACCAATGATACACCAGCATTACTGTGGAATAAATAACTATACCCAAAAATATACAGTAAATACCAACAATGCCCAGAATTACTCTGCAACAATCAACAATACACCAGCATTACACTGTAATAACCAATGATACACAGCATTACTCAGTAATAACCAACAATACACAGCATTACTCAGTAATAACCAACAATACCCAGCATTATACAGTAATAACCAAAAATACACCAGCATTACTCTGGAATAACCAACAATACACAGCATTACTCTGTAATAAACAATACACGGCATTGCCATGTAATAAAAAACAATACACAACATTACACTGTAATGACTAAAAATACCCAGCATTATTCTGTAATAACCAACAATACACAGCATTACACTGTAATAACCAACAATAGACCAGCATTTCTCTGTAATAAACAATACCCAACATTACTCATTAATAACCAACAATACCAAGCATTACTCAGTAATAACCAACAATACACAGCATTACTCTGTAATAACTAATAATGCCCAACATTATTCAGTAATAACCAACAGTACCCAGCATTACTCTGTAACAACCAACAATATGCCAGCATTCCTCTGTAAAAAACAAGAATACCCAACATTACTCAGTAATAACCAACAATACAAATGCATTACTCTGTAATAACTAATAATGCCCAACATTATTTGGTATTGACCAAAAATACTCAGCATTAGTCAGTCATAACCAATAGTACCCAGCATTACTCTGTAATAACCATCAATACCCAGCATCACTCAGTATTAACCAACAATAGACAGCATTACTCAGTAATAACCAACAATACACAAGCATTACTCTGTAATAACCAACAATACACAAGCATTACTCTGTAATAACTAATAATGCCCAACATTATTCGGTAATAACCAAAATTACTCAGCATTACTCAGTAATAAACAACAGTACCCAGCATTACTCTGTAATAAACATCAATACCCGGCATCACTCAGTAATAACCAACAGTACACAGCATTACTCAGTAATAACCAACAATATCCAGCATTAGTCAGTAATAACCAACAATACACAGCATTACTCTGTAATAACCAAAAATACCCAACGTTACTCAGTAATAACCAACAATATGCCAGCATTACTCAGTAATATCCATCAATATCCAGCATTAGTCAGTAATAACTAACAATATCCAGCATTACTCTGTAATAACCAAAAATACCCAACGTTACTCAGTAATAACCAACAATATCCAGCATTAGTCAGTAATAACCAACAATACACAGCATTACTCTGTAATAACCAAAAATACCCAACGTTACTCAGTAATAACCAAAAATACGCCAGCATTACTCTGTAATAACATCAATACCCAGCATCACTCAGTAATAACCAACAATACACAGCATTACTCTGTAATGAACAACAATACACAGCATTACACTGTAATAACCAACAATACACAGCATTAGTCAGTAATAACCAACAATGCACAGCATTACTCTGTAATAACCAAAAATCCACAGCATTACTCTGTCCTAACCAAAAATACCCAGCATTATACTGTAATAATCAACAATACACCAGCATTACAATGTAATAAACAATTCACAGCATTACAATGTAATAACCAGCAATACCCACCATTACACAGTAATAACAAACAATACACAGCATTACTCTGTAATAAACAACAATACACAGCATTACTCTGTAATAAACAACAATACGCAGCATTATTCTGTAATAACCAACAATACCCAACATTACTCAGTAATAACCATTAATCCCTTGCATTATTCAGTAATTACCAACAGAACCCAGCCTTACTCAGTAATAACCATCAATACTAAGTATTACTCAGTAATAACCATCAATACCCAGTATTACCATGCAATAACGAAGAAAACCCAGCATTACTCAGTAACAACCAACAATACCCAGCATTACCCAGCAATAACCAACAGTACCCAGCAATACTCAAAAATAACCAGCGGTACCCAGCATTACTCAGCAACACCCAACATTTACCAATATTACCCAGAATTACACAGTAACATGCAATATTACCAGTGTAACCAAATAATACCAACATTACATGATAGTACACCATAATACTCCATTTTACACAAAAATAATATTACATAGTACTAGTCAATATTACACAAATACCCCAATGATACCAACAGTACTAGATAATACCCCATATTACACAATACCGGATATTACATGAGTACCAAATAATACCCATTATTACATGGTAATACTCAATATTACAAGAAATAACCCAGTAATACTGAAAGTACCCAATAATACCCAATATTAATCAAATATTACCCACTAATACACAGTGGTGCTGAATATTACACAGTAGTATCAAATATTACCCAATAGTTCACATTAAAACCTAATTTGTCCAATAATACCCAATCTTGGGTAATGTACTGCGTTTATTATGTAGTGTGGGGTAATGTACTGCGTTTATTATGTAGTGTGGGGTAATGTACTGTGTTCAGTATGTAGTAATGTTGGACAATGTAGTGTATTCTGTTTGTAGTATTGTGGGGTAATGTGTTCACTATGTAGTAATGTGGGGTAATACAGTGTGTTCAGTATGTAGTAATGTGGGGTAATACAGTGTGTTCAGTATGTAGTAACAGTGGGTAATGTAGTGTATTCTGTTT